TGGAGCCAGGCCCTTCCCTTCCTTGGTGGCCTGGGAGCAGCTGGGAACTGGGCCACTCACAGGGCTGGGAAAGCACATGCCTGGGCTGAAGGCTGAGCACCTGGGGATCAGCTCTGCACCAAGTCCACCTCCCTGGGGAGGGAGCAGTAACCGGGTCCTCAGGAGTGTTTGCCGTGGGATGCCTGTCCAAGCCTGCTGCGAGAGGGGCCCGGCTCCCACTGCCCCAGGGATGAGCAGGTCCCAGCCCAGTGCCCGGATGCGAAGGTACCGCCAGAGGCCATCGCATCCTTGGCTAGACCCACCCCACCCGCCGCAGACACAGTCCTGGTTGCCAGCTGGCCTTCCACCGTGGCTCTGCAGGCTGACCACGCTGACCACCCGGAGTCTGTCGTTCTGAGGGGACATTGGTCCGTTACCGACCATGTCTCGGTCAATAAGCACGCTTCCCTGGAAATGGGACCACTGTTACCAGCTCATGAAATAGCACTTCTTGGCCGGAAGGTATAATCCTAGTCCCTCTATGCTCTCACCACCTGCGCTCCTGGAAGTCACACTTGACCTTCTGGTCGACCCACCCCTGAGAAACTGAGCTCAGTATCTACAGGGAGTTCCAGCGACCAAAGTGCCTGACGTTCATAGGACATGCCACAGCCCCGAGGGAGTCTTCACGTCCCACTGAGAGCCTCACCGTAAACCCAAGGCAAGGCAGGACACTTTACACAGGTGTGCGGCATTAAAATCCGTCATAAGGTAATGACCATATTCGAAGTTGGACATCTCGTGTTGGACCCTGACTCCTGGGTCCTTTACAAAACCTCTCTAAGCCTGGCTCCTCCATGCAGAGAGCAGATGAGCCCTTCCTGGAGCTGCCAGGGGCTCGAACGGTGCAAGGCTCCCACCGGCGAGGACTGGCTGGGTCGCTGTGCATCCAGTAGTGGCCCGGGGGGTAAGGACTTGGGTAAGGACTCAGCGCCGCGAGATGCAGGAAGACAGAGGGCTCAGAGGTGGGGCACCACGCTGGGAGCAGGTGGGCAGAGCTGAGCCCCATGGAGGGAGGAGAGAAAGAAGCGGGATGAAGGGCCGTCACACTGAGACACCCACTCAGGGGGGATTCAGCTCTGGTCCGAATGCTTATAAATATCACATAGTTCAGAAAACATCAAGTCAGCTTCAAACCTCCAGCCCCCAAAGCGCGTGGGAAGGACACTCTGCCACCGTCAGGAGCTGCTGTGGGAAGTCTTGCTGACGCGGGCCACCAGGCCCTTCAGAGAGGCATTTCCTGGCCCCGGGAGACTTACTAGGGGCCTCTCCTGGGAACCCAAAGCCCCAAGGAGGCAGTGTGGAGCCCTCCCAGTGTGCGAGGCTGAGGGCCACATTGGGGAACATGCCCCCTTTTAAAATCAGGACACAGGAGTCTTTGTCCTTCACTAAAGAATAAAAGCTGGATGAGATCACAAATGTGGCCCAGCAAGACGTCCGTCACTCATGTCCCCCTTGACAAAAACAACATGGCATCCAGCCACGGAGAGCTGTGTGTGACTTCGTGGGGCTGTGGGCTCCACTTGGAATCTGTGCAGCCCCGGGGCGGTCCAAGGCCGAGGGGCACTGAGCCGCCGACCCAGGTCCCAGCTGCAGAATAGAAGCCCACCCCACACCCCCAGGGCTTTGGATCTGTCACCGGCACCAGACTCCCAGGGACACGGAAGGAGTCCCACCCACCGCCGCCTCGGCCCAGGGCACCCCCACATTCTGCCTCACACACACGCGCGTGTGCACATGCATACACGCACGCACGCACACACACACCGTGGCCACCAGCCAGGGCACATTCCCAAGCTCACACCGGTGGAGAGAGAGCTTTTGCAGACAGCTAGTGGGCATGCACAGAAAGCCAGCCTGGGGACCCTTTGGGAAAACAAAAGGAGGCCGTGGGCACATGGCTTGATGCGGCAGACACAGAAGTGTGTAAGTGTAAGAATTCTGCCTCAGAAGGGAGCAAGCCTCATGGAGGGGGGTCTCCGTGGGTCTGAGAAAGCCTCGGCACACCAGCAGGGTGGACGGGGTATTTCTGTCCCAAAGGCAGTCAGTGAGAGCTGCAGGGGGGACCTGCCCCTTCGGCTGCGGAGACAGTAACAGAAAACTTCGAAGAACACGAAACATCAAGGAAACATCATGCACACACATCCCCACAGCACTCCCAACTTGCACTATGCCCGATAAATTCTAAATACAGGCGTTATGTCCAGGCCACTGAACTAAAGTGGATGTCACACACATAGACCAATGGAATAGAACTGAGAACTCAGAATTGGACCCAAAAGTATACAGACAACTAATCTTTGACAAAGCAGGAAAGAATATCCAATGGAAAAAAGACAGCCTCTTTAACAGATGGTGTTGGGAGAACTGGACAGCAACATGCAGAAGAATGAAACTAGATCATTTTCTCAAACCATACACAAAAATAAACTCAAAATGGATAAAGGACCTGAATGTGAGACAGGAAACCATCAAAACCCTAGAGGAGAAAGCAGAAAACAACCTCCTTGACCTCCACCGCAGCAGTTTCTTACTTGACACATCCCCAAAAGCAAGGGAATCAAGAGCAAAAATAAACTATTGGGACCTCATCAAGATTAAAAGCTTCTGCACGGCAAAGGAAGCAATCCATAAAACTAATAGGCAACCGATGGAATGGGAAAAGATAGTTGCAAATGACATATCAGATAAAGGGTTAATATCCAAAATCTATAAGGAACTTACCAAACTCCACACCTGAAAAACAAACAACCCAGTGAAAAAATGGGCAGAAGATATGAACAGACACTTCTCCAAAGAGGACATCCAGATGGCCAAGAGGCACAGGAAACGATGCTCAGCATCCCTCCTCATCAGGGAAATACAAATCAAAACCACACTGAGATACCACCTCACGCCAGTCAGAGTGGCTAAAATGAGCAAATCAGAGAACTCTAGATGCTGGCGAGGATGTGGAGAAACGGGCAGCCTCCTACACTGTTGGTGGGAATGTAAACGGGTGCAGCCCCTCTGTAAAACAGTGTGGAGGTTCCTCAAAAAATTAACGACAGAACTCCCCTATGGCCCAGCAATAGCACTGCTAGGAATTTACCCAAGGGATATAGGAATGCTGATGCATAGGAGCACATGTACCCCAATGTTCATAGCAGCACTCTCAACAATAGCCAACACATGGAAAGAGCCTAAGTGTCCATCAACGGACGAATGGATCAAGAAGATGTGGTTTATCTACACAATGGAATACTACATGGCAATGAGAAAGAATGAAATCTGGCCATGTGTAGCAACATGAATGGACCTTGAGGGTGTTATGCTGAGTGAAATAAGTCAGGCAGAGAAGGACAGCTACCATATGTTTGCACGTATAGGAGGATTAGGAGGAACTTAACGGAGGACCGCGGGGGAGAAGAAGGGGGTAAATAGTGGGGGAGGGGGAGAGAGGCAAACCATGAGAGACTTTTGAATGCTGAGAACAAACTGAGGACTGATGGGTGGGGGAGGGGAGGGGGGAGATGGGCATGGAGGAGGGCACTTGTGAGGGTGAGCACTGGGTGTTATATGGAAACCAACTTGACAATAAACTATTTGTAAAAAAAAAGAAAAAAGTGGATGTGTTGTGCCCGAATTCGTGAGTCCCCAGAGACCACCAAGGAGCCGACACCGATGCAAGTACAAAAGGGTCTTTATTAGAAGCTTGAGCAGGGCCTCACCCACCTACCGGTGTAATGGCAGCAAGGTGAAGCCCCGAACAATAGTGAGCAGGATTTTTATGGGGTAAGGGATAGGGTGTTACAGTGCACACGTTGTATGTATGACATCATTACATAAGTTCCAATTACAATTGTACAGTACTATCCATGGTAACAGCTTTGACCATTCAGTATCTGTGAGGTGTTCATTACATTTGGTGGGACCCAATCATGACTTTTGAGAATCCTTTGAAAATAACCAATTATGAGGTGAGTTCAGAGGGCCCACGTGGGGTTCAGGCAAGCAATGAGAAATTGGCTAGTTTGTACAGAATAACTGTCTACAGTTCCCAGCCTTGACTCAGACCACAGGAATGTTTTTTGATTAGCTGATCTGAGGGCTGTCTGAAGATGGCTTTAGCCTTGAGCAATCTGAGGAACTGGGGCTACGTGCAGCCCGAGGTTGCTCTTAATGGAGGCCTTAATTTCAAAATGACATTACTTAGGCTCTTCAGATGTCACAGTAAAGCAAGTCAAAAGGATTTTTTGGTTTCCCAGGGGTATAAAAGTTGTGTTCAAGGGTGCCTGGGGGGCTATCAGTTAAGCGTCTGACTTCGGCTCAGGTCATGATCTCACGGTCCGTGAGTTCAAGTCTGGTGTTGGGCTCTGTGCTGACAGCTAGGAGCCTGGAGCCTGCTTCGGATTCTGTGTCTCCCTCTCTCTCTGCCCCTCCCCTGCTCACTCTCTCTCTCTCTTTCTGCCCTCCCCCACCCATGCTCTCTCTTTCTCTCTCTCTCAAAATAAATAAACATTTTTTTTTAAATACTTTATTGCAGGGGCTCCTGGGTGGCTCAGTCGGTTAAGCATCCAACTTTGGTTCAGGTCATGATCTCACAGTTCGTGGGTTTGAGCCCCACATCAGGCTCTGTGCTGACAGCTCAGAGCCTGGAACCTGCTTCCGATTCTGTGTCTCCCTCTCTCTCTGACCCTCCCCTGCTCCGCTGTCTCTCTCTCTCTCTCAGAAATAAATAAAACATTTAGAGAAAATTTTTAAATACTTTATTGCAGGGTGCCTGGGGGGGCTCAGCCAGTTGAGCATCCGACTCTTGATTTCAGCTCAGGTCACAATCCCAGGGTTGTGGCTTCAAGCCTCGTGTCAGGCTCCACGCTGAGCACGGAGTCTGCTTAAGAGCCTCTCTCTGTCTCTCTCTGCCTCTCTCCCTGCCCTCACAGTCTCTCTCTCTCTAAAATAAAAAAACAACAAATTGTTAAAAAAAAAACACTTTATTGCTAAAACGTGCTAACCATCCTCTGAACTTCCAGTGCATCATCATCGTTTTGCTGGGGGCTGGGGGATCTGCCTGATGTCAGTGGCTGCTGACTGATCGGGGTGGTGGCACTGAAGGCTCAGAGGCCACGGCCACCACTTAGAATAAGACAACAAGGACATCGGTGCATCGATGGACTCCTCCTTTCATGAAAGTTTTCTCTTTGGTGTGTGGCACCATGTGATAGCGCTTCACCCACAGAACTTCTTTCAAAGTTGCTCAGACCCCACTGCAGCTCCATCCGCTAAGTCCACGCGACAGCCTGGTCCTTTGTTGTCGTTCCCACAATCGTCATGGCACTGGACTTGAACCATACTTCAGATCACATGGACCTGACCCACACGCACAGAACGTCCGTCCCACAGCGGCACAGCACGCATCCTTCTCACACATTCTCTGGGACAGACCCCCCGTATCAGATAAGACACAGGTCTCAGCAGGTTTAAGATTTGAGCTGTACCAACTGTCTTTTCTGACTGCAGCGGCAGGAAACTAGAAATCAACAATGGGAGGAAAATTGGATCACTCACAAATCAGAAGAAATTACACTCACGCCCCTGAACAACCAATGCGTTAGAGAAGAAATTAAAAAGGTGAGGAAAAGAGGTCTTAAAACAAATAAAAATGAAAACACAACACACCAGAACTCATGGGACGCAACAAAAGCAGTACTAAAAGAGAAATTTAGGGATGTCGGTTGAGCACCCCACTTCAGCTCAAGTCATGATCTACAGTTCATGGGTTCGAGCCCCACTTTGGGCTCTGTGCTGACAGCTTGGAGCCTGGAGCCTACTTCTGATTCTGTGTGTCTCTCTTTCTGCCCCTCCCCTGCTTGTGCTCACTCTCTCTCTCTCAAAAATAAATAATTTTTAAAAATTCACTGAATATGGGTTACAAAGTTAAACATGAGACCTGAGACTGTAAAACTCCTGGCAGAAAACATAGGGGAAAAGCTCCTAGGCGGGCGCTCTGGAAATTTCTTGGCTGTGGCACAAAAGCACCGTCCACCAAAGCAGAAATCATCTGCGCTGAACGGAAAGTTTCTGCACAGCAAAGGAGACCGTCCACACAGCGAGAAGGCAGCCCCCATCTGGGAACAGGAGGACCTGGGAGGCCGGTGCCGCGTGAGGGGTCCCCAGCCATCAAGTGCCATGTCCTCTGCCCCTGCACCACAGGCTTTCGTGGAAGGTCCAGATGCAGGATGCCTCAAAGTTCGGGGGCAGGGGCCCTTCAGGACCGTCAGCACTCTCCTCTCCCCTGAGACTCAGGATTAACCTCAGGATTTTCATTGGGGTTGTGCTGACTCTGGAAATCGACTTCAGAGCAGTTAACATCCATGATAATTGAATCTTTTGATCCATAAACATAATATATTTTTTTAGGTCTTTAATGTCTTTCGTTAAAGCTTCATTTTTGTTGTTGTTTTAATTACGTTGTCAACTTCTTATTATCTTTTTTTAAAGAATTTTTTTAATGTTTATTTATTTTTTGAGAGAGACAGACAGCACAAGCAGGAGAGGGACAGAGAGTGAGGGAAACACAGAATCCGAAACAGGCTCCAAACTCCGAGCCGTCAGCACAGAGCCCGACACGGGGTTCAAACCCACAGATCATGACCTGAGCAGAAGTCAGACCCCAACTGACTGAGCCACCCAGGCGCCCCTCTGTGACTGGCCTAAGGCAGGGTCCAGTCTCACTCTCCACACGTGGCTGTCCGGTTTTCCCAGCACCATTTGTGAAGAAGCCGTCCTTTTCCTGGTAAGTGTTCTTGGGTCCTTTGTCAATATCAGTCGACCTTTCACACAGAGGTTTGCTTCTGAGCTCTCCATTCTGTTCCGTGGTTTAGGCATCTATCCTGTCAGGGCCATGGGTCAGGTCACTACAGTCCTGTGACATAGGTGGAAATCAGGAAGTATGACTCCCCCAGCTATGTTCTTCTCTCTCAGGGTGGTTTTGGCTACTCAACTCTTTTGTAGTTTTGTGGTTTGTTGCTGTTTCTGTGTACAAGGCCATTTGAATTTTGATGGGGATTGCAGCAGACCTGTAGACAGCTTTGGGGGGCATGGACAGGTTAACACTACTAATTCTTCCAACTCATAAACATAGTGTGTCTTCCTATTTGTTTCTGTCTTTTTCAACTTCTTTCATCAACATGTTACAGGGGTTTTTTTTAAATGTTTATTTACTTTTAAGAGATTGAGACAGAGAGAGACAGAGCGTGAGTGGGAGAGGGGCAGACAGAGAGGGAGTCACAGAATCCAAAGCAGGCTCCAGGCTCTGAGCTAGCAGCACAGAGCCCGACGCGGGGCTCGAACCCACAAACTGTGAGATCACGACCTGAGCCGAAGTTGGATGCTTAACCAACTGAGCCCCCCAGGCGCCCATAAAGTGTTAAATTTTCAGTGTAAAACTGCCTCCTTGGGTAAATGTATTCCTTAGCAATTTATTGCTTTTGATGCTATTGTAAATGGGATTGTTTCATTTATTTCTCAGATGTTTAGTGGTTAGCATCTAGAAACACAGCTGATTTCTGTATGCTGATTGCATACCGTGAGATTTTACTGAATTCACTAATTAGTACCAAAAGTTTTGGGGGAAATCTTGTCTCAGCACCATCAGCTGAAAGGTCACCCTTCCTTCCACAGAACTGGTTTCACACTTTTGTCAAAGGAGCGGTTGGCTGTGTCCGTGCGAGGCTACCTGCGGATGCTGTGTTCCGTCCCCCCATCCGCGCGTCTGTCCCTTGGTCCATCCCACACCATCCTGACCACCTCAGCTACCGACGTCCTCCATCAGGTAGACAGCTTCGTCCCTCCATATTCTTTCCCAAAATCCTTTTAACTACCTGGGCCCCTGTGCCTTCCGATAGAAAATTTTAGACTGACCTTGTCTATGACTTCCAAATATCCTTCTGGGATTTGTGTCGTAGATGTTCTCAAGTCCAGGAAAGTCCCTAATAGTCTTAACTTTCCGAGAGTTTCTATCCTGATTTTTCTTCCGTACTCTGTTAATGCAATCGATTACACGGCTTGGTTTTCAAATACTGAACCAGCCTTGGGTCCCTGGAACACGCCCCACTCACTCATGGTGTGTAATTCTCTGTACGCAGTGAGGAGGGAAACAAAGGCAAGAGAAATGCAGCTTAAATTATATCTGGGGTGCCTGGGGGCTCAGTCGGTTAAGCATCCGACTTCGGCTCAGGTCATGATCTCACCATTAGTAAGTTTGAGCCCCGCGTCGGGCTCTGTGCTGACAGCTCAGAGCCTGGAGCCTGCTTCGGATTCTGTGTCTCCCTCTCTCTCTACCCCTTGCCTGCTCATGCTCCATCCCTCTCTCTCTCAAAAATAAATAAACGTTGGGGCGCCTGGGTGGCTTAGTCGGTTAAGCGTCTGACTTTCGCTTAGGTCATGATCTCGCGGTTCGTGGGTTGGAGCCCTGCGTTGGGCTCTGTGCTGACTGCCCCCTCAGAGCCTGGAGCCTATTTCAGAGTCTGTATCTCCCTCTCTCTCTGACCCTCCCCTGCTCACGCTGTCTCTCTCTCTCTCCCTCTCTCTCTCTCTCTCCTAGAAATAAATAAAAATATTAAAAAATAATAATAAATAAATAAATAAACGTTAAATCTTATAGTTCACAGCATACTGCCAGCCACCTGAAACATGCAGAGGGTCACTTTCCTGGAGGAACTCAAGGCCCCCCTACTGCCTTAATGCCTATGTTGAATTAAAGACCAGAAGTAACTTTATCTTCACAGCACCAGCCCCTCAGGGTCCTGGAAGGCTTACTTCCAATTCCTCAGAGACTTACTTTATCCCTACCCCCCTCCCTTCATTAACTTCACAGCACGTACCCCACCACCCCGCACACCCAGTGCACCTCTCTCTCCCTGTGAGTCCTGTGCCCGTGAGATAATAAAATCATCTTTGTACATCAAAAACATCTCAAGAACCCTCTCTTGGCTCATGAACCCTGCTTCATAATTTCATCATTCTGGCACCTGAATGGGGGGCTTCGAGTCTTTTCACCTGGACTCAGCGTCAGTGCAGAATTACTCGGTGAGTAAGTCCCTCTTTCCTTTTACTTTCTTTCCAGGGGAGTTTCAAGGAGTACGGTCTTATTGGTACACTTTCCTGTCGATTGCTCCAGATTCAATCCTCTCTCCCATGGCTCCCTCACAGGGAGGAGAAAGCCTACCTTTTGGCTGGAAGTTAGGATCCTGGCCAGAGTGGTAATAAGACCCAGAAACTGGATGTCCTCTCTCTATTCCTGTCCTTCTGCAAAGTTGTCTATCTTGGGCACAGGACAGCCACCTAAGTCCCCAGGACAGCCTCCTCATTGGTCTAACATGACTGCCCCACCCACATCTCTGGTCTAGACACTTCTGCCCGTGGTACCTCCACTGGGAGCTGCATGAAACCAGTACCTGAGTGAAGTAAAACCCACTGGGCACCATTTCCCAGGAAGCCAGCTGTAAAGACTGTGTGTTGGAATGTCACCTAGATCATGACAGATTTCTGTCTTCACTGTTTTTCATCAGTGTCCCTTACTACTGCAGTTACAAAATTGGATAACGTCCTCTTGTAAAACTTTTCTAGTGTTTTCCATGGGTTAAAAAAAAAGCATGGCATAGCCTTCAAGGCAAGACAAGGCACGGTTTTCCGGTCCATACGCTGGCACCCATCCGGAGTCTAAAATGTTACACTGAAGTGCGGGTCCACTAGCACCTCTTCTCCAGGGCCGTTAGTGGCGGATCTGAGAGCATAGCCATTTCATTTGAGGGACACCTCGGGTCGCTTTTGTAACAGGACCTCAGCTCACACAGAGAGTCATGACACTGAGACTTTTCTTCCCAGGAGGCAACGTTATTTGTGCCAGCATTGGCTCAACTAGGTTCGCACCCGAAAAACTGAGCCCCAGGCGCAGTGAGGTATAGTCTTTTATGCATTTGCTGCTTCTTTGTCTGCGTATATGGGTGAGGTGTAGACATACAGTGTGAGTGGGTCTTATGTTACAGGGTCAGGAGAATGTCAGGTACAGACACAGAGTTGTGAGGAATGTCACGTAGGTACCTAGCAAGGTGGCCTTCCCTTATCTTGAGGTCTTTTCCCACCACATTCCTTAGGGAGGGGACCGACCACACTTCGACCCCAGGAACCTCTGACAATATCCCACATGGGATGCCACCCGGGAGATGGGGAGGACTCTGGGTAAAAGTTCTTGGCCTTCGCGACTTTTCCAGGAACGTGGGATCTTCAGCCCCCGAGGACTCTCCCTTGGGATGTCTTTGAACCCACTGGAATCAATTCGGATTGCAAGATCTAAGAAAGGAGAAAACAGTCTTCTTTTGTAACACTGCCCGGCCTCTGCACTCCTTAGGAGATGAGGAAAAATGGCCCATTAACAGGACATTAAACTTTAATACAATCTATGCATTAGATCTCTTCTGTAAGAAACAGGGCAAGTGGACCGAGTTACCCTATGTCCAGAACTTTGTGGCTCTAAATCAGGATCCAGACCCAAGGGCCTTCTGCAGAGTGTGTCTAAACACCAACCAGGTTAGGGCCGCCTGGGTGGCTCAGTTAGTTAAGCGGCCGACTTCGGCTCAGGTCAGGATCTCACAGTTCACGAGTTCGAGCCTCACATCGGGCTCTGGGCTTACGGCTCAGAGCCTGGAGCCTGTTTCGGATTCTGTGTCTCCCTCTCTCTCTGTCCTCCCCTGCTCATGCTTTGTCTCTGTCTCTCAAAAATAAATAAAAGCTAAAAAATTTTTAAATAAAATAAACACCAACAGGTTAATAAAACCCCTCTGGACATACTGGACAATGACTATCTAGATAGGCACATTCCTCCTAACAGACCTGAGCACTGCAGGAAACGCCAGCCAATCCAGACCAAGAGGCCTCTGGTTCTGTTACTCTCTCTCCTCCTTACAGACCCCAGGCTCTCTGCTCCCGGCCCAGCTGGACACACCAGGAGCCAGGCTTCCTGCCCCCCAGGAGCACCCCCCACATTTGGACTGCACCCTCTTAGGGAGGTCACTAACGGAGAAATGGGCACAAGTAGAGCCCATGTCCTGTCCTCCGTGGCTCAGATCACACAACAATTGGGACGATGTTCTGAAAACTCTTCCCCATCTTCTGCGGGCTTTCAACACGTACATACTACATTTGATCTGACCTGTAAGACATGCACATTACATTTACTCACTGGCACACCCTTGAGGAAAAGGGGGCAGGAGCCCAAGAGTTCCCTGATGAACTGTCCACAGGAGACCGGGAACTGTATCCGACGGGGGCTGCCATCCTAAACACCGAGCCACATTGGAATTACCAAGAGGATGGACAGGGAAGGAGGAGATGAGCTCATGGGATCGCTCGTTTAATAGAAGGAAGGGAAACAGGAGTCTCTAAACCTATAAAGTTTGATAAAATTCAGGAAGTTACTCAAGGGGCTGATGAGAATCCAGCTCTATTTCAGGGCCGTTTAACAGAAGCCATGTAAATACACAAATGGGCCCTGTCTCGCCTGACGGGAAACTACACTGAACGCGTGTTTTATAAGTCTGTTGGCACCTGACGCCCACCAAAAATGGACTGAAATGGCTGTAGGCCCTCAGCACACCCCCAGTGCCTCCTCGAGGTGCGGCCAGAGTAATAGAGATGTGGTCCTAGAGCTAGAAAAGGTCTGGAGAGCTAAATTACAGAGTAAGAAACAGGCTCAAAGAAAAAGCCGGAATCAGAATCAGATGAAGAATCAGGCAAGTCCCCACACTACGGGAGAGCCCAGGTCAGACCTCAGAGCAAAGGATGTCCAAATAAAGCCTCTCCTCCAGGACCATGCTCCATCTGTAAAAATGGGGGACATTGGAAGAGAGACATCCTCACTCCAGAGAGAGAGGAAGACAGGAACTCACCCACCCCCCGTTCCCTCCCTCCCCTGCCCTCCAGTCCCTGGATCTGATGTGACAGGGCCCTGAGGCTGGTCCCGCTCCCTTTGACATCAGGTTGGCTGAGCCCCAAGCTACCCTGGACGCGGGAGGTAAACTCATCCATTTTCTTATTGATACAGAAGCCATAGACTCTGTGTTTATTCAGCTCTCTGGCCCCACTTGTCTTTCTGGCTGTCAAAATGTTGACATGGGGGGGGACTAAAACGTGCCACTAAACAATGATTTCAACTTGTAACTATAAACGTCAATTCATCACTCATGTTTTTCTGGTCCTTCTATCCGGTCCCGCTCCATCACTTGGACAAGACTTCACACATAAACCCGGAAGCAGCTTTGCACTTGTTAAAGAAAACACCTTGCTCTCTTTGACCTCTAGGGGGCGCCTGGGTGGCTTGTTGGTTAGGTGGCCGGCTCTTGGTTTCAGCTCAAGTCACCACCTCAGTTTTCACAGTTTGTGAGTTTGAACCCCACATGGGACTCTGCTGAAAGTTCAGAGCCTGTTTAGGATTCTCTCTCTGCTCGCTCGCTCTCTCTCTCCCTCTCTCAAAATACATAATAAACTTTAAACTTTAAAAAGAAAACCTTACCCCTTCTAACATCTGGAAGGATATGCTCAGGTCTGGGATTGTGATGTCCCAGGACAGGCTGGTAAGGCCCAGCCAGTTAAAGCGACCTTAGAGCTCACACCCTCCATTGACCAACTTAGCCAACAGGCATTTTTATGCCTTTTGAAACAAAGAAATCATACGTGCGACACCTGGGCAAATAGCACGGGTGTGTGCTACTTGAGAAACACGCTCTCAAACCCTCATACTGTGGGCTGCTGACTGGTTCTACTGACTGGATGGGGCGGCCTGGAACCAGATGGCCAGCTCCAGATGGGACCCACTGGCTACGTGGAAACCATCTATGGCCCTGGCTTCCTCCAGGGTGGATAGCTCGTTGTGCCTTGGGTTTTGCCTGGATTCATGGATGTATTACTAAAACCATCACTGCGGGGCACCAAGGGGGGCAGACTCAGTGGTTGAGCATCTGACTTCGGCTCAGGTCATGATTTTATGGGTCGTGAGTTCTAGCCCGGTGTTGGGCTCTGTGCTGATAGCTCGGAGCCATGAGCCTGCTTTGGATTCTGTGTCTCCCTCTCTGTTCCTCCCCTGTTCATGCTCTCTCTCGCTCTCTCAAAAATAAACATTTAAAAAAAAAAAAGGAACCATCATTAGCTAATCCTCCCAATTGAAAACAAAGATGGAAACAATCTGCCTTTTACCGGTGTGATCACGTAGTGTCCGTCTTTGTTCCACCTGTGTGGTTAGAAAGCATAATCTGGCGTGTGGAACCCAGTGATAAATACATCGTAAAGGCACTCAGTGATTCACAAGCCAGCACCCCCTTACTCAATACTGAAGTCGTACAAATGCACAAAACAGTTCTACAAGACTGAATGGCTTTCGATGTTTTCTCAGCAGCACAGGGAGGTACGAGTGTTAAAATAGAATGCTGTGTACACACCCCAGGTTCTCATAAGAATGTCTCAGGACCGTTAAAAGATGCGAATCCTCCAACCGGGGCTGTACAAGACCTCGCCCTCTCGCACTGACTGGCTGAGCTCCGGGCGCGGGGGAGGACTGCAGTCAACCACGAAGGTCTCTTCTTTGGGCTTCTCATTCTTACAGTCAAGCCGATAGTCCTACGTTGCGTCTTCCAGGGTCTCTCCGCTCAGGGCTGAGACTCTGTCATCACAATAACTGCCCTTTGACGAGCGATCCCTCCTGCTCAAGGAGATGTGTACATGTGGTCCACTTTGGATTGCACTGCCTCTGCCTTTTGTAAGTCCCGCGTCACTAGCTGACCGATGCTGCCCCAGAGGTGGGGACGTCGCTGTGCCCCTACTCAGCAGGAGGAAGCTGCAGAAGAGGAGACCTTCCATCCTCAGCGACTTTAAGATTTAGGGTCAAAATAGTTTGGGGGGGTGGGGGAATGATGAGGAAATGAAAGGCAAGAGAAATGCAGCTTAAATGAAACGTCTTTACGGCTCTCAGCCCACTCTGGACACCTGAGGCATGCAGAGCGCCACCTTCCTGAAGGAACATGAGGTCCCCCTAGTGCCTTAATGTTTAAGTCGCATTAATGACTTAAAAACTTGAAGCAACCTTATCTTCACAGCAGCCAGCCTCCAATTCCTCACAGACTTACTTTATCCCCCTCCTCCACTAAGCTCACAGCATGTACCCCACCACCCCACACACCCAGTGCAGCTTTCTCTGCTCCTGCGCCCCGTGTCCATGTGATGATAAAATCACCTTTCTGCATCAAAAACGTCTCAAGAATTCTTTCTTGGCCACTCGCTCAGGAACTCTGCTCCATAACCTCATCAGTAGCACTGGGTTCCACTCACTTGTTGCTCATTGAAGACTTCTGTGCCGGTGTGTTTGTCTGCATGTCTGTGTGTCTGTGTTTGTGTGTCTGTGAGTGTGTTGAGATGTGTGTACAGGTGTGGGTAGCAGTGTGCATGTAGGGGTGCATGTAGGGGTGAGTGAAGGGGTATGTGCAGGGGTGTGTGTATAGGGGGTGTGTAGGAGTGTGTGTGCAGGGGTGTGTGTAGGGGTGAGTGTAGAGGTGTGTGTAGGGGTGAGTGTAGGAGTGTGTGCACAGGGGTGCATGTACAGGGGTGTGTGTAGGGGTGAGCATAGGGGTATGTGTATAGGGGTGTGTGTAGGGATGAGTATAGAGCTGTGTGTATAGGGCTGTGTGTAGGGGTGAGTGTAGGGGTGTGTGTACAGGGGTGTGTGTAGAGGTGTGTGTACAGAGGTGTATGTAGGGGTGAGTGTAGGGGTGCATGTACAAGGGTGTGTGTAGGGGTGTGTGCAGGGGTGTGTGTAGGGGTGAGTGTAGGGGGTGTGTGCAGGGGTGTGTGCAGGGGTGTTTATAGGGGGGTGTGTGCTCTCCCCTCTCTGTCAGATGTGGGTGAAATCAGTGTAATGCTGCTCACATAAAAGGAGCTGGGCCATCCGGCTACATTTTCTAGAATTGATGCGGATGACTGGTCTTAAATCTACTTTATGTTTTTATTTTATTTAGTTTAGAGAGAGGGAGAGAGCGTCTGCACGCGATGGGGAGAGGGGCAGAGGGAGAGAGAGAGCCCGACGCGGGGCTCCATCCCACGAACCACCATGAGATCATAGCCTGAGTCAAAACCAAGAGTCAGATGCAGAACTGGCTGAGCCCCAGGGTGCCCCCGTCTTGACTCCCCCTTAAATGTCTGGTAGGAGCCACCAGTGAAGCCACTGGGCTGGAGACTGCTTTTCCCAGAAACACGTTCACGACTCCTGGACTCCCTCCTCATGGGAGACTCGCAGTCCTCAGGGTCGCCCAGGTTCCGTGATGGCGGGTCACCCACCCGACTCCCTCGCCACCCTCCCACGCCCCTGCCCCTGGTTTTCCAAACACATGTGCTCATCTGTCCCTCCTCTTCTCTTGCCAACGTTTGTCAGTGTTATTGACTTTTCCAAAGAACCAGAATGAGGGCGGGGGGCGGGGGGGGTTGCTCCATGTATCTTTCTGTGTTTTTCGTTTCCTTCCTTTTCTTGCTGGGTTAGCGTCACTCTTCTCCCAGCCCCTGGGGGGGCGTGGGGGCACTGAGGTCGCTAAGCTGCGACCGGCCCCTCTTCTCAGGTCAGCCGTGTGCTGTCGCAGCACCCACAGGCTGCATCCTCCTTGTCATCCGGCTCTCTGTGGAAGGAAGGCCCTTCCTTCTCCCCCACCATCCCCCCTCCAGGCTATTTAGAAGAGTGTTGTTTACTTACCAAGACTTGGTAACTCTTCATTTCCTGCTACCAATTTCCACTTTAAACCCCTGCGCTTCCAGAAACCAGGGACAGGATGCAGCTCTCCCTGGTCCGCGGGCACTTAGACAGCAGGTGTGTGCACTCTGCCATTGGCAGATGGATGGTCCTGTCACCGCTGAAGGGGTCCTGCTGAGTGACACCGGTGCTGAGTTTGTCCACGTCCCCGCTGATTGTCTGAGCCATCCTGTCACTTGTGGAGAGAGGTGTATCGGCGTCATCCACGTTAACACGGGCTGCAGGGCAGGTGGCCAGGTCCATGCAGGAGGCTCCCCAGGCATCCTGGCACCCCAAGCCCACTGTCCACCTCCCGCCTTGCGGGCCAGCTTTTCTCTTCGCCCCAACCAGGAAGGAGCCCCGGGCATACCCTCTCCGGGGCCCAGACCTACACCGAGAGAGAGGGCCCAGCCCGACCCCTGTCCACTCAGCTCTCTGCCTGCCCTTCAGGGGGACACGTGGGAACATGCCGCCCAGACACAGCCTGGGGAGTCACATTCTGCTCACCACGGGATCCTGAGGGCCGGGGAGCTTAGATGGCCGCAGAGCCGTCTGTGCTGTTGAGAAGGGGGCCACCCTTCCGACGTGCCTCAAGGGCACACTTCTCACAGGCACAAGTGGAGACAGTGCACTGGGAATTCGTGTTTAGAAAAGAAATATTTCCCTACAGGAAACACCTGCAGAAGTCCAGTTCTGCCCACGACGATGTGTGGGTCCCTAAACCCAGCTCTGCATGAGCTTCTGGAACTGCAAAAGCCCCAACCCAGATGCCCTACGGGGGATTACAGGGAATGGCCAGGACCGGTGCAGTTAATTCCCACGGGTGGTCCCGCACTTGGAAATGGCTAATACAGAGACCAGCACATACTTTTAACACTAAATACCAGGGCACCTGGGTGGCTCAGTCAGTTAAGCGTCCGACTTCAGCTCAGGTCATGATCTCGTGGTTCGTGGGTTTGAGCCCCGCATTGGGCTCTGTGCTGACAGCTAGTTCAGAACCTGGAGCTTGTTTCGGATTCTGTGTCTCCCTCTCTCTCTGACCCTCCCCTGCTCACACACTCTCTCTCTCTCAGAAATAAATAAAACATTTAAAAAAATTAAAAAGAAAAAAACACTAAATACCAAGGAACCTGGGTGGCTCAGTCAGTTAAGCGTTCAACTTCGGCTCAGGTCATGATCTCACGATTTGTGGGTTCGAGTCCCGAGTCAGGCTTTGTGCTGACAGCTCAGAGCCTGGAACCTGCTTCGAATTCTGTCTCCCTCTCTCTCTGCCCCTCCCCTGCTCATGTTCTCTCTCTCTCTCTCTCTAAGGATAAACATTAAAAAGTTTAAAAATAAATCTCCATTTGCAGGTACCCTGCAGGCCCGGGGTCGCAGGTGAACCTGGCTGGACGCAGCTGGATGCCCGCGCCCGGCTGCCAAGCAGTAGTCCGCAGGCAGGGGACAGGGGACCCCAGCGCAGCCCTGGGCTGACACACATGAAGTCACTTTCCCAGGGTGGTCCCTGGACCCCATGTGGGGCATGTAGGCTGGGAGCCCTCTGGTGTGGACTCCGGACCCGCCTGGTGCTGTTAAACCCGCGCCAGCACCTCCTGCAGAAGCAGGGCCCTCGGCCAGCCTTGCACTCCAGGGCCCCCCAGAGACCACCTCTGGTGGTCCTGAACCCAGAGGCGGAGTCCAGAGCCTTCCTAGGAGGCTGCCGAAGATGGAAATAACACACTGGTCATTCGCGAAAGTGCACGGGACATGGGAAGCCTCAAGGCAAAGGGACCACACATAACCACAGGTACGTATGTACAGGCGTAAGCAGTATGCCTATAAGTGTGAGCATGTGCACGCTCATGTAGAGGGACACGTGTGCACATGTCAACGTCCAGATACACACCCATATGCACGTGTACAGATACACACATACCCATATCACATGGACGACCGCTTCTCCTTGGGCCCCCAGCTCTGCAGGCCCACAGTCTCCACCAGCACCAGCACCGGAAGAGCCTTGAGAGACTTTGCATAGGAGAGAACTTTCCAGTGAGGAGCAACAGGCAGGAGGTACAGCCGCTGTGAGCAAGGGTATGACTCAGTGACACTGTGGAAACGCCCTGGTGTCATGAGAGCCCCGATGAGGAGGCTGAGGACAGGATCCTGACCCAGGGTCATGACACCTGGTGACGGAGGCACGACCCTGACCCCGGGTTTGTGACTCCAGTGACGGGACAGGACCCCCACCCAAGGGTTGTGGACTGAGCCCAAGACCCCCCACTCATGGGCCATGACAGACCCCACAGAGAGGGACAAGTGGAAAGAATGGCGTGGCAGCCCTGACCTGATCTCGACCTGGAGAACTGGAGGAGACCCCCACCCACCAACCCCATAGGACCAGTGGGGACCCCTCTGCTTTGTCCACTGAGCCCATGATGCTCCAGGCGGTCCCAGCTGGGCCTCAGTTTCCCCACCTGACTTGGCTTTCAGGAGCTGTTGGGAAGCAGGAAGGCATGTCTATCTTGGAAGAAGACAGGCTGAGGCTAGGCTGGCGGGGCCAACAAACATCCCCAGGCCACGAGGAACCCCACGTCCCTGCCCCGGGGCCGCAGAGCTCAAGGCAACATCCTTCCTGGAACTGCTGGCTTCTCGACCTGCCCTCAGGGCTGTGAAGGCAAAGGTGAACCTACCCCCCACACTTCTCCAGTCAACACCTGTTGCTCCCGCCCCCACCAACCCTATGGGCTGTGCACCCCTCCTGGCCACCCTCACCAGAGACCCCAAGCTCAGGCAGAAGCGTGGCCCAGCCACAGTGCTTAAAAGGCTCTCTTCCAAGGTGAGGAAATGGTTAAAATGGTGGCAGCCTGCAGGTGAAGTGTCACACTCCACCACCACAGACCACACAGTGCCTTCTGCTTTCTGCAAGTCTTGAGGGTATAAAGAGTGCTCCGAGTTTGTGTCTGCACCCACACCCACAGCATGACCCCAGTGACTGAGATGGGGGGTGTCTGAGTATATGAGGGGACAGGAGATGGGGGGATGGATGATAGACAGATAGATAGACAGATGGATGGATGGATGATAAATAGATAAATAGATTACAGATAGATAGGTTAATAGATAGATAGATTAATAGATTGATAGATGATAGGCAGATAATTGATAGATGATAGTAGATTGATGATAGATTACAGATAGATAGATAGATAGATAGATAGATATAGATAGATAGATAGACAGATAGATGACAGAGATGTTTGCACAGGGAATCACTAGATAAAGTTGAACCAAGCCAGTAACGAGAGAGCTCCAGGGTCATGTGTAAGCTTTGTCTTCTTCTCTGTGCTTTTCTGAATTGTCCAAGCTTTCTGCAAGGTGTGTTATTTTTCTGATCAGAAATATTGGAGGTTGGCTTCTAAATAATCTGAATTGCATCACAGAAGGCTCTCCAGATTTGGTGGCACCTTTGGGGCCAGTGGCCTCAGGCAGTAACCATGCAGACCCAAAGGAGAGCCTGGGGAGAGCAGGGGAAGGTCCTCAGAGAATGAGGGCAGAGTCCGACTCCCCCTGCAGACCCCCTCCCAATGCTCTGGGCAGCAGCTGGACTGAGAGGCACCACCACCCACTGCCGCAAAGAGGAAGCATGAGTTGCTATAGCCCCCCAACCTGGCAGAGCTGGGTGGAACCCACACGGGCACAGGGGCTCAAACGTCCCTGTCAGGAGGGACATTTGTGACATACCCCCTTTTGGACTCCACCCCACAGGTGAGAGGGTCACCCAAGGTGTGAGGTCACTGGCCACCGCATTGGCAACCTGATGCCTGATGGTTGAGTGCCTGATGCTGGCCCCTCCCCGCACCATCCACGGGAGCCCAGCCTTGGGGACACACTGATCAGGGGGAGGGACAACGAGCCCTGGCCCAGGGGATTCATTCTGGAGGAACAGACACTGAACACCTAAGGAGTAGCCAGGATGGGTCACAGTGTGTCCAGGAAGTGCCAGAGGCCTGAGAGCCCTGAAGCTGGTCCCAGAGGGGGGGCTCCTTTGCCTGTGCTGGGGGTGGGGAGCCTAGGTCAGCAGGCTGAGCAGAGGACCCCAGTGGGGGAGCAGCAGTTGTGGGAGGGCCTGGCTGGGGAAGAGGGGAGGAGAAGGGAGAGAAGAAAGGGGGCTAGGGGTGAGAGGAAGGGGGAGAGGAGGAGGGATGGGAGAGGGAGGGGAAGGAAAAGGGAGGAAGAGGGAGGAGAGGGGAGAAACAGGGGAGGGGCTGGAGAGGGGAGGACTAGAGGAGGGAAGGAGAGGGCAGGGAAAAGGAGAGAGGAGAAGGGAAGGAAGGGGGAGGGGAGGGGAGAGGAGAAGAGTAGGGGAGAGAATGGGGAAGGGAGGGGAGAAGAGGGGGAGGTATGGGGAAGGGCAGATGGGGCAGGGGATGGGGAAGGAAGAGGACGAGAGGAAAGGGGGGAGGAAAGGGGGGAAGAGGAAGGGAAGGGGAATGGAGGGGAGAGGAAGGAGAGGTCCAATGTAGGAAGGTGCTCAGGAGCTGTGAGCAGTCCTGGAGGAAGGGACTTGTGACCACAGGTCCCCCAGGCCGAGGGCCATGTTCTGGGGAGCCGGGGCAGGTGTGTTTACCCTGGCCTCAGACCCAGCATCCAGACAAGACAGAGCCCGAGTCTTGGTGTAGGGGAGGCACAGAGTATGGGCAGAAGGGCCAGCAGAGGGCTCTCCAGTGAGTGACCTTGGCCTCACTCGCCTCTCCCCCTGGGACCAGTCTTCTGCCTCAGGCCTGTGGGCCGCCTCCTTCCCAGACTCTGCTGAGGAAACATGAACCGTCAGCCTGAAAAAGCACAGAGAGGCTGCACGTCACTGTCACCGGCCAGGGTCCCAGGGGTCCCACCTGGGCGGAGCCTGGGCTGAGACCCCAGGACTCTGTGGAGAGGGTCCTGAGGGCACCTGAGCCCGAGTGGAAGTTTCTGGGCTGAAGCGTCTGGAAATGCATGCAGCACAGGCTGAGGGCCCCAGGGGAGCGCTGACCAAGGTAGAGGCCAATGGCCAGGCAGCCAGGCCAGGGAGTGCAGCCTGGAGCAGGCAGCCGTAGCCGGTCACCATGGGGCCCCTTCCCTGCCCGGGCCCTAGGGGAAGGAGGATGGAGGAAGCCCCTGCCCCCTCTGAGGACAAGTCTCGCCCTGACACCTTCTAGGAAGATCCATTCCCGGTGACTGCCCTGCACAGAATCAGCACACTGCTCCTAGAAAGTTCTAGAAGGGATGAAGAGAGAGACAGAGTGTCCGCCGCAGTTGCCCCCCACAGCTGGGCCCCTCCTCTGAGTGCAGGAAGGGCACACCTTCCGTGGCCCTGCGGGGCCGCCCTGGACGAAGATGTGTGCTGGGCTCTGCTTCTCCCGCCCTCTGCCCTGCATTGTTCTGTTCTGTCCCTTCAGTTGAAACCGTTGGCACACAACATGAGATTGACTGCAGGTGGCTGATGGCTACAAACCTGGGAAATGATCACCGCGATTCTAGTTACCTCCGTCACCTTTCTTTTCTTGTGATGAGAATGTTCAAGATGCCTTCTCTCAGCGACACCCCCAAAGGCAACCCGGTTTTGGGAACCCAGACGGCCGCGCATCATGTCCCCACCCCGCCCCGCCCCCTGCCGGTCGTTCGCAGTAAACTCAGGTGCTTTCACCAGGGAGAGGAATCACCCACCTCAGCAGGAACTTCTCTAAGTTTTAAACAGTGACCCTGGCGCAGCGGATGCCCAGCCTGGGGCTGTCCAAGGCGGAAGCCCCAGGGCGGCTGGGCGGGCACCAGCCCCTACCCCCACACCCTACTGCCGCCTTTAAAGCCAGGCTGGGGCTGCCGGCCTCCATCCACCACCTACCTGCCACCCACCACCATGCGCTGTCTTGCCAGCCTGGTCCTGGCCCTGCTCGCCCTGGAGGCCGCACTGGCCGTGGCCTTGGTCCCAGCCTTCACCATGCCAGGTAGGCCTGAGGAGCCACCCCGGGAGGCACCCAGGAGGGCCCTCCCGACCTCCCTGTCTTCCAGGTGCATCCCTGACACGCACCAGGATGGCACCAGGACCGAAGGAGCAGAGCAGAGGAGGGACAGGGCAGGGCACTGCCTGGAGACCCCAATGCCGGAGGGTCCAGGGGTCCAGGCCACTGTCCCCAACCGTGGGACAGCTAACAGTGGGGGGGGCTGTTCTTGGCCCCCTGGGTCTCAGCCCTACCTGCTGTCCTGGGCCCGGGCAGGTCATGCTGCGGCAGATGCTTTTCCTTTCAAGAACTGGCACACTGGGGTGCTGGGTTCCCATCCTTGGAGCCCCGGAGAAGTGGTCCAACAGCCCCCAACCCACCCACCTGCCTGTCCCCTGCACAGGGCAGGCCATGTGCCCAGAGCTCAGCTCCTCGGAGGAGGACTCATGCGTCGTCTCCTGCAGCACCGATGACAACTGTCCCCAAGGCACCCAGTGCTGCGCCACAAGTCCCTGCAGCCGCTCCTGCGTGGTCCCCGTCATGGGTAACACGCCGCCCCTGTGCCCCACGCCAGGCCCTGTCTGGGGGAGGAAGGAACCATCCACACCCCCTCTCAGTGACCTGCCCCACGGCCCCCTAAACTCCACCAGGCAGTGAGCCCGGCCACCTGCTGGCCTGGCCATGAGGCACCGCTTGGGTCCCCTCCCTGAGGGCAGCGGCTGCCATCAGGGGTTCGCACGGTGGTGCAGGGGCCCTGCCGGGAGCCAGCAGCAGGGCGGCCGCCGGGGGCCTGAAGCGCTGGCCCGTGTCTCCGCAGCACCTCTGCAGAAGGCGGGCCACTGCCCCCGGGTGGAGGTCCCGCTGGCCGTGGAGCCCTGCGTGGAGATCACCGAGTGCTCCTCAGACAGCCAGTGTGCGGGGAGCAAGAAGTGCTGCCTCAGCCTGTGCGCCCTGCGCTGTCTGGACCCTGCCGCAGGTGAGCGCCCCCGCCCTGCCCCCTCCGCTGGGCCTGCTGGGCCTCAGAGACTTGGCTGGCTAGACTTGGGCTGGCCAACCAGCAGGGTCTGTGCCTTTGCTACTTGACCTTGGGAGGCAGCTTGGTTCCCACATGTGGGAGGAGACATGGATGGGGAGCTGGGAAATTGCTTCCTGGCCACAAGTGCCCCCACACAGTGCCTGCCTGCGGGCCTGGTGAGGGCCGGGGAGGGGTGGGTGTGGGGAGCTCGCTGCCCCCCCACCGCACACAGCGCCCCTCCCTCCCTGCCCCTCCCCTGCCTCTCTGAGGCCTCTGTGTCCTATGCAGAGGACCCCCTTCAGTGAGGGGCTGCCCCAGGACCCCAAGGCCTGAGTCTGCTCGGCAAGAACCTTCTCTCTCAGATCCAGAAAGTCCAAGATGCTTCCTACCTGCTGCTAATAAAACCCACTCAGCTTCATGTCTCTCTGTCCATCTGTCTGTCCGTCCCAGCACCTCCAGTGGGGGGGGGGGGGGGGGGGGGGACAAAGTACACAGGCCTCTGGGAGCTCCGGGCCGCCCAACGGCATTCAGGGCCCCGGCCCTCTGGGGTCTGGCCCCTTTGAGAGGTGTTGCTGGTGTGGGGACAAGGGCAGAGTGCAGCCTGCAGGGAGGGCTAGGCCCAGAGGCTGCACGGCCTCTCTCCACTGCCCATGCGTGGCCCCAACCTGCACAGCGGTGTCCAGAGGGCAAGCGCACTTACAGGGAGTTTCTGCGTGGATGCCACTCCCAGGCAGCCAGTTTAGGGTCTGCGGTGAAGTAGGCGCACCCTGCCTGACGCCCAGCAGGCACCCCAGAGCCCCTTGCCGTTCTGACACTAAGTGCCCCTAGCCAGTTCCCACCAGGCTGCCCGACCACAGACACTGGCCCGGCACCCTGACTCACTTAGCTCCCAGTCCTGGCGGCCCATGAGCCCCAGAGCTTCCATAAGTGTAAGAATGACCCACAGGACTCTGAAAGCACAACACTTCGGATCACAGTCTGTGATAGAGGACACAGACTGGCAAAACCAATAAGACCACGTGGAAGGTGGGGGCGGGGAGGCAGGAGGCTTTGTCCCCACTGGGCTGGGGCACCCCACCTCCCAGCACAACCACGTGTCACCAGCCCACAAGCTCCCTGAGCCTCGGTGTCCAGAGGTTTTCTCAAAACCCCACTAATAGGCATCATGACGAAGCCGTTGTTGCTCAGTCCCCAGGCTGTGACCACACGGTTGGCTCCTGGTCGCCAGCCCCTGTCCTGTGCCACCGAGGACCCCTATCGCAGAGTTACCGCATCCACGTAGACTCAGGGGTGAGGAAGGAGTCCTTGCAAGTAACACACGGCACTTGCATTAGCCAGGGAACTGCAAGGTTTGGAAGTGCTGCTCCGGAAGGGGACAGAGGCTAGAGTCCCTCAGCACGGTGAGCGCTTTCTGCCAGCCTGGCCCCGCTCATGCACACTGAGGCCACCTGCCACATGCCAGACGATGTGTCAGGAGCCTGGGAGACAGAACAGATGGTCCCAAGTCAAAAGGGCTTTCACCAGCAGCTGAATTTTGTTTCTGGACCATTCTCCAGCAAAAGGAAGCAGGATTCCTTGGAGACATTGTTGAGGGAACAAAGAACAAGGCTGCGCAGGGGACACCTTGTGTCAGAAAGTGGGAGCCAGCCTACAGCCGCCACCAAACAACCCCGGCACCCCCAGCACCGCCGGCACACAGGAGAGGCTCTGCTTCACAGAAAATGCCAGTCCACACAGCGGGGAGGAGAGATGGAACTAGAAACCCACCATCACCAACTCCAAAGTGATCATTCCTCTAGCCGAGGGTCACCAGGGTCACCAGATGACCCGGAAACCACTGGAGAAACAGCACAGTCTCAAAGTGTCCCCACTATTCACAGCAGAGAGCTGGCCCTTAACCGAACCAAGGGATCAAACCCGGGACCGTGCACTCTAGGGCCTCCCGTGGCTCTGTGCATCCCAGTGCATCCCAAGGGGGTGGCCTTGCCAGAGACGTGCCCTGACAGCTTCACGAGGAAGCCATCGGAGGACCGCAGTTTCTGCTCAGCGTTATGGGGGAGGACGCCCTGAGCCCAGGTTGGGCAGCTGGAACCACCCAGCCCACCCTTCCTCAAGCTCAGAGTGAGCCAGGCAGCAGGGAGTCCCCCACCCCCATGCTGGGGGACTCCTCCTCGGCACAGAACACCAATCCCCTCCACCCCTGCATTAGCCCTGCATCCAACTTCTGTAAGCTTGGTGCCCTACCATCTGCACCCCCATGCATGCACTGGGCACTACTGACATGCCTGAGTCAACTTACCCACCCCCCACCCCTGCCTCCTCCACATCTTCCTCAGGAGCACTCCTCTCCCACGGGGTAAGGGGAGCACTTTTCAAGTGCAACTCAAACGATGCAGAGCCCGTGCCCCAATCCCTCCTCTCTGGGGGTCTTCAGCGCCAGGCCACTATCCCTGCTCTCCTCACCCCCAGGGACGGCTGGGAGCAGCCCCCCCACAGCGGAGCCTGCTCAATTATTCACACTAGCCAGTCCTAAGGGCCCCTGCCCTCCCTTGCCTGAAGCTCCCCACAGAAACCACAGGAGAGGTCTGTGCCCACAGTGACAACCCCCGCCTCCTGATCAACCCAGTGCTCCCCTGGGTGACCCTGCAAGGCATGGACTGCCCCTTTCTGTCCCTGATAACTGTGACTAACACGCTATTCTCAGTGGCAACCCTCTCCTGATCTTTTGGCCTCACCAGACCTAGGCTTTTCTATTAATACAAGACACGTTAGAGATGATTGCTTTCAGGGGCCAGACATCCATCTCAGAGAGGACCCAGGGGTGCGGGGGACTGTATCCCTGCTCCGCCACCCCCCACCATGTGCTCACGGCAGCTAAGCCCAGAGCTCCCAGGCCCTCCTAGGCAGATCTCCTGCCCAGGCCACTCAGCTCCAACCCCTGCAGCTCAGCTCCTCGGTGCTAAAGGCCCCCAAGGAGGACCCCGGGGTGGACTGAGGCCAGGAGAGGCTGTGAGAAGGGCTCCCTGGGTATAGCTTGGTGCCGGACCCCGCCCACACACGGTACCAACACACCGCGCCAGGAGGGCTTTGCAGGACTTCCTGGTGGACATGCCGGAAGGATGGGCAAGGCAGACCATGGACGAGGTGGAGGAATGGACAAGGAAAAACGGAGGAGGAGGAGTGATGGAGGAGGAGGGGTGGAGGAGGGATGGAGGAGAAGAAGGGATGATGGGGGAGAAGGAGGAGGAGGGATGGAGGAGGAGGGGGATGGACGAAGAGGGGGCTGGAGGAGGAGGGGAGATGGAGGAGGAGGAAGGGGGTAGAGGAGAGGGGATGGAGGGGGGATGGAAGAGGAGGGGGATGGAGGGGGGATGGAAGAGGAGGGGGATGGAGGAGGGGGGATCGAGGAGGGGAGATGGAGAAGGGGGGATGGAGGAGGAGGAATGATCGGGGAGGAGTGATGGAGGATGGGTGAGGGAGGAGGAGGAGAAGGGATGATGGAGGAAGAGGGATGGAGGAAGAAGAAGGATGATGGAAGAGGAGGGAAAGACAAAGGGGAAGGGGGGTGCGTCAGTCTGTGTGTTTGGGGGGCCTGGCTGCTGGCCCGATTTGGGGTTTGGGAGGGCAGAGGGCTCACCATCCCTCCCCAGTTGGGAGGGAGCCTGCAGCCAGGATGGAGAGGCATGGGGAGTTCAGTTGCTCACTCTCCAGGTGCCCTTGGGCAGTCCCTTCCCCCCTTCCTGGCCTCAGTTTTCCATACATGAAGAGGGTGTGGAAGACAGGTTCACGTGCTGGGCAGAGTGGGGCCGGGCTCTTCAGGGGTCTGTCCTCAACCACCGTGCCCCCAGAGTGGGGTCAGAGGCCCCCTAGATCCGTGTGGGGCCTAGAGCACCTCTAGGGATCTCGTCACTTGTGCCCCAGAAAACAGGAAGAGGCTGTCATGTGGCACAGGGGCCCTCAGCGGGGATCTCTGGCTCCCAGCCACTGCAGGTGAGGCCCCCCTCACTGAAGTCGCGCACAGATGATCCTCCCTCACAACCCCCACTAGCAACAGCGACAGGAACACTGATGGAGGAAAGGTATGTGCCTCAAGCCTGAGACTCTCTGTCCCTCCCCAGGTATCCCTCCCCCAGCAGGCTCCCCAAATGTTGGCAGCTCTGGCCCAAGAGGAAAGAACGAAAAATATGTCAACCGTGAGCACCCTAAATATGGCCTGATGGCAAGGTTCACTGCCAGAAAGTCCTCTTAATGGCCCGCCACTATTTTTTAAGGTACCAGCTTCACTGAGATACAACTCACATAACGGATATTCACTCCTTACAGTGTAGAACTCAGCGGCTCCTCAGACCTTCCCATAGTTAACCGTCCAACTACTCAACCCCAAAACATTTCCAGAGCCCCCAAAAAAATCCCAGACCCATTCGTCAGTCTCCATCCTACTGTCATGTCCACAGCCCGCCGGAAACCACTGATCGACCCCCGGGTCTATGGACTTGCCTCTCTGGACATGGCACACAAAAGGAATCACAGGGAGTGTCCATCTGGATTCTTTCTCCGAGCGTAATGTTTTCGAGGTCCTTCCATGTTAACTTGGGCAGACGATATCCCACCATGGATATACCGCCTTTTGTTCGTTCATGCAGCCATCGGTTAGCATCGGGATCGTGCCTATTTTTTGGCTTTTATAGATAACGCTTCTGTGAACATTTGCATACAAGTTTTTGCATTGACATGGATTCCGTTTTCTTGGGTATTCGCCTAAGCGTTACACAGCAATTCTCTTCCAAGAAACTGCTAAGCTGCTTTGCAAAGCAGCCACGCCATGTCACATGCGCTGCCACCAGCACTGCCTCGATGTGCCAGCCTCTCCACATCCTCACCAACGCTTGGTATGTTCTGGGTTTTCCTGTTGTTTTAACGGCAGCCATCCTAAGTGGGTGTGAAGGGGCCCCTCATCGTGGTTTTTAATTCGCATTGGCCTGATGGTTAGGGGTGTTGAGCAACATTCCACATGCTCGCTGGACATCGTGTATCTCCTCTAGAGAAGCGTCTACTCAGATTATTTGAGCGGCTCTTAACTGGGCAATTGCCCTTGGCTGTCACGTCGCAAGAGCTCCTTCCCCACTCACCATCATCGTTCTGAGACTCATCCACGTCCTTGCTGGCATAGTTGTTCATTACTTTTTAATTTTTTAATGTTTATTTATCTTTGAGAGACAGTGCGAGCAGGGGAGGAGCAGAGAGACAGGGAGACGGAATCCGAAGCAGGTTGCAGGCTCCGAGCTGTCACTCAGAGCCTGTCGCGGGGCTCAAACCCTCGAACTGTAAGATCATGACCTGAGCCGAAGTCAGACACTCAACCGACTGAGCCACCCCGGCGCCCCTTATTGCTTTTTCTTAATATTCTTCATTTTGTAGAGCAATTTAGGTTCACGGCAAAACTGAGTGAAAAGTACAGTGAAATCTACCTCTTGCCCCCGCCACCGCACACCCACTCTTCCCCCACTCTCAACAGCCCCCACCAAAGGTGCATTTGCTGTGATCCATGAACTCATGGTGACTCATCACGACCACCAAAGTCCACAGTTTACATTACAGTTCAGTCTTGGCGTACATTCTATGGGTTTGGACAAAGATATAATAGCCTGTCCATTACGGTATCAAGTAGAATACTTTCATTGCCCTAAAAACTCTCTGTCCTCAACCTTTTCATCCCCCTGCCCTAACCCCTGGCAACCACTGACCTCTCTACTGCCCCCACAGCTTTGCCTTTTCCAGAACGTCATATACTCGGAATCATCCAGTGCACAGCCTTTTCAAATCAGCTTCTATCGCTTAGTAACCCGCATTTAAGGTTTCTCCAAGTCTTTTCATGGCTTGATAGCCCCTTTCTTTTTGCCACTAAAGAATATCCCATTATCTGGACGGACCACAGTGCATTTATCCGTCCGCCTCCTGAAGGACACCTCGCTCGGTTGCTTCCAAGTCCCGATAGTTATGGCTGGAGCTGCTATAAATACAGGTGCACGGGGTTCTGTGTGGATACGTTCTCACCTCCCCTGGGGGGGATATCAAAGAGCACGGTGGCCGGACTGCACGGTGTCCTTTCCGGCTGCAGTCACAAAGTACCATAATCTCTGTGGCTTATAAACAACAGAAAACTGTTTCTCACACTTCTGGAGGCTGGAACTCTGAGATCAGGGCGGCAGCATGGGGGCGGGGGGCTGTCTGTCCTGTACCTCAGGCTTGTCGCTGTGTCCTCACGTCTGGGAACAGCCAGGGGCTCTGGGGTCTCTTGTGAAGCCTATACTCTCAGGCCCCAGTCACCTCCAAAACGCCCCACCTCTTAGGTTTCCACATATGAATCTGGGGGCAGAAACACCCATTGCCTGCACTAAGAGTATGTTTAGGTTTTGTTAAAAAAAAAAAAAACGACACACACAAAAAACTAGTAAACTGCAAAAGCGACAGCACCATGTTGCCATTTCAACCAACAGAATGAGAGCTCCCCCCTTAAATATGAGGATAGAAACCAAAACCATATGAAGAAAAACAGCAAGAGAAAAAAACCAACAGCGTGTAAACAGGGAGAAGAAAAACTCGGCGGGGGGGGGGATCCCTATCATTGAAATCCTTACAGGAGTAGGAGAAAATACCACAATCATGAAAAAAAAATACTGTAAAAAGGAACATCAAAAGCCAAAAAGGACCTCTTAGGAAAGAAAGGTGTGTTGACAGGAGCTTTCAGAAGAGCCGGAAGCTAAAGTGGAGGAAATATCTCAGAAAGCAAATAAATAATGAGGAGACGGAGAGGGACACAGACAAGATGGAAAATCAGGGAAAATCAGAAATCAGCCCACAAAACCAGTGTTCAAATGTGGGCATTTCAGAAAAAGAGATTAGAGAAAATGGAGGAAAGGGGATACAAATAAACAACAATGAATTTGGGCAGAGGACAAGTGCTTTTAGGTTGAGGGCCCATCAGGTGCTCAGGGTGGACTCGGATCATTGTGAAATATCAGAAATCATGAAAAGTAAAAGATACAGCTTTTAGAAATTAAAAACAAAAGAGAACTTAAAAAGAGGAAGAAAGAAGGGAAGGGAGGAGGGAAGGAAAAAAGGAAGGAGGGAAAGAGGGAAGGGAGGAGGGAAGAAGGGAGGGAAGGAGGGAGGTCACTCTGCCTGTTTCAAGGACTTGTCTTATATTTTTCTTGCCTTTGTTTCCCACATCAATATACACGCGGAATCTTAAACAAACAAACAAAAAGACAATTACTAATTCCACGGAAAGTGATTAAGCGTGGAAGGGAAATCAAGCCCACACACTGACTGCAGGTGCCTGTTCTTGGCTTAACCGCACTTGAATTCTTTCAAAATTAAACGTCAACACTTCAAAAATCAGAAGACTGTACATAAAATTCCAGGATTCCAGACTTTTTTTTTTTAATTCGGCAACATGTGGGCAAACTGCCTGCATTTCCGGAGGACCTCAGCCCTCCCGGGCGCCGTGCACCCCGCAGCCTCCGCACACGCTGGGGTGCAGGCTGGAGGACGCCCAGCCTCCGGCCGCCGCGCCTAGAATCCTCGTTCTCCTCCCCTCACCTCCCCTGAACTGCCTAACGCTTTTCTCCCCGCTTCCCTTCCCCTACTGTGCGCCCTCAACAAAGATGGCACCTGTCCGGAAAAGAACAGCCAGCGCGACTTCTAGCTGGCTGCGTGCCCTCAGCAAAGATGGCACCCGACTGGCGCGGGCGTGACTTCCGGCCGGGCGGAGCGCGGCGAGGCTCGCTTCCCGCGGCGCTCCGAGTGACGTGATTAGCGCGCCGCGCGGCGTGGTCCGAGGACGGAGCTGGGGCGCATGGAGGTCAGTGGACGCGCTGCTGCGGCAACTTGGGTCTCCCGGCGGCGGAGAAGGGGCTGCGGGGCGTTGGTTCTGAGGGCCGGAAGGCGAGGCCAAGTGGAGGAGACTGGACGGGTGCTCCGGGACGCGGGGTTGGGGGGGGGGTAGGGTCCTGGGCTGCCAGGGCGGGGGGGGGGGGGGGGGGGGGCAGCGCGAGGTGGGGGAAGGGGCCGTTCCCGCCTGTGCGCATGCGCGCACCTCCACCAGAGCCGGGTGTTGTGTCCCTTGGGCGGCGCACAGACCCTCGCGTCTTGGCGAGCGGGCCTCCCCGCCTTGGTGCGGGTGTGGTGTCTGCATCTGCGGGCCGAGCTTCGGGGCTGGTGGAGCCCATTTGGGCCCCTGGACCGCAGCTCGCTACCCAGGGCACAGGGTGACCTCGGTCGGGACTGTTTCCGGCTTCGCCGCCGCCGGGGCTCAGTGGGTGCGGGTCGGTATTCTCCCTGAACCTCTTATGTTGTGTAATTAGAATAAGCATTTTACAGCTGCAATAATGCGCCGGCCGCGTACCAAGTTCCGGGAAGCCGATAGTCCAACACGCTCTCTGCTTTGGCAGGCAGGCACACCCGGTCGCTTGATCGCCCTGGCGGGCGAGACTGAACAATATCGGGATATGTGACACACTCCTGGAGGAGGTAACGTTTTGCTTGGGTGTGGAAAGACGACGGGTGATTTCGTGGGTGCGGGGGGGGGGGCGCTGGCAGCTGCCCTCTCTGGGTCTACTGAAGGTGCAGGGCTTGTTGGGATGAGGGAAGTAAAGGCAGAAGGTCATTCTGAGCCACAGTTGTGAGGCTGCAGGATGTGGGTAACAGGTTCAGAGCTCTCCAGGAGCAGTGTGATGTGAAGCATCTTGTTCTGCGCTTCTGGAAGTCTTCCATTCTTGCTCCTGGGTACTTTTAAATAAAAGGACTTTTTCTAATCCCTACTTTCAGAGATTCCCACCTAAAAGCCTGGGCCCAAGCCTGGGGATGTGAATGGTTGAACCACCCCATAGGCGATTGCGCGCTCCAGCCCTAGCTGTAATGCTCCTGAGTTTGGGCATCTGGCTCCATCCTGCAGTAGAAGGGAAGCGCTCTGTGTCACACCCTGGGGGGCAAGGCAGGAAGCACAGGTCCCCGCTGGTGTGGGGAGCAGAGAGCGGCGGCAACTGTGTTTCATCTGCCCTGTTCTCGGGTCTCTGACTCGGGAGCCACGCCTGCAGTGCCTCTTTTCATCCTTTTCCTCTTCAGGGCTTCGGGCCAGGACCTGCTTGCTAGGAATCTTCTTTCCCTGTCACCCAGGCCGTCATGGCAGCCCGCCTGGTGAAGCGATGCACGTGCCTCCTGAGAGAGGCCACCCTTCTGGCCCCTGCAGTGGCTCCGGTTGGCCGACTGCCACTTGCTAGCATGGCGGCCAGGACTCTGACTTTCTCGGCCACCTGCCCCAGTTCCCACTTCCCAGACCCCTTGTCGGGGCTTGTGGAGAAGGAGCAAGCGTCCGCCCCCTACCCAGGGCACCGGGAGGTGGAGCAGGTCATCGAGAAGGCCACCCAGCCAGAGGAGCTCCTGGAGCTGCTCGGTGGCAGTCGCTGCCTGCAAGAAAACCACGCAGCCCTCGTGCTCATCCAGCTTTCTCGCCTGCTGTCTGACAAGCCAGAAGACAGAGCCTCCCTCGTGCAGGATGCCCGCTTTCAACAGCTTCTCCATCTCGTCGACAGCCAGGTGGGTTTCTAGAATGTTCTCTGAGGGCTCACCATGCAGAAAATAGGTGCTGGAGTCTAAAGCAGCCGATTGCTTTCCAGGTATAGACGGAACTGTTCTGCACTGCTTAGTTCTCTCCATTTTCTGATAAGTTTTCATTTGCTAGAGTCCAGACTACTCTTGCCTGCTGTCTCCCTATTGATATCAGGGCGGCCCTGTTAGGTGAACTATGCCTTCCTTCCAGCAGCACACGAGACACGGAAGCACAGGAAGTGTGCTAGGTCTGCCTGATTTCTCGGGTGCACGTCTCCTCACCAGGCACACCTGCTTGTGTGGCCCTGCTCCTGTGTCTAGCTGGCCTAGGGGGCGTTCCTCTGGCTGCAGGGTATTTGGGGTGACTGACAAGAGATCCCAGGCAGCCGGGCAGGGCATGGCTGTTGTCTAGCCATTCAGACCCTCATCTGAGTGCGGGGGCAGTGCAGGGGTGAACAGACCTCAGGCCATCGCCGGGCCGACTGAGGAGAGACTCCCTTTGGGCAGGCTGTCAGCTCCGGTGCTGTAGGCTTCTGGGTCCCCTGGGGGCCTCTGCCACAGGCTGTCTCTGCGAGCCCATAGTCTGCACCGGGCCGTGACACACTGGGAACAGAAATGGGCGGGCCCCCAAGAGTAGGGAGTCTGGGGCTTCGGGACGTTGTGGAGCACAGCATGGAGCCTCACAGCATCTGACATGGCAGCAGGTGGCCGACCAGCCACTCCCCTCAGTGGTGCTGGGGAGCATAGGGTGGGCAGGACTCTGGCACTGGGTCCCTCTCTGCGTGCATATCGAGTGCTGTTTCACGCAGCTTCACGTGCCAAGGGCATCTCCTCTGGTGGAGGTGGGGGAGGGCAGCAGGGTACTGGCACCTGGGCCTGCTCTGCGGGGATGTCACTCTTGCTGTCCTTGGCGCTCACATTCCTAAGAGACTATGTTCTCAGAAACTTGAGGACACCTTTAGGGGAGAAAATCAGGGTTCGGGGTTTGTCGGAATCCATGTGACCTCTGCCTCCGGGATGAGGGCCGGTGTGTCTGTAACACCTGACTGTTGCCATCGTTACGAGTAACAGGGCCAGCGGGTTGACAAAACTCAACTCCGAGTCCGTCCCACACGCTTCCCCTGGCCTCTGGACTCGGCGGTTTTGCTTAGGTTTGGGCACACGTGTAGACGGGTGCCCCTCAGGCACGTGGAGCAGTGGCCGGATCTCTGTGTTCACCCCTCGAGGGGACCTTCCCACGCAGGGGCCTTGCTCGCAGGTAACCCTGTGCGGCTGACCAGGTGGCACGGGGAGGTTGCCTTGGTGGTGGGCTGCAGACCAGCCGGGCAGGGTTCTAGCCGTGACTGCCCTATCCCCCATCCCCCCAGATAGGCATTGTGTGGCACGGGACCCTCGTGAAACTGCTCCGTAGCCTGTACGCACTGGTGCTGCCAGCAGCCTGCAGGGAGCTGCGCTCGGTGGAGCAAGAGGTGCGCTGGCGCCTGCGCAGGCTCAAGTACCAGCACCTGGCCTTCCTGGCCGAGTCCAGCGCCACGCACATGCAGGAGCGGGGCTCCCCAGAGCTGCTGGCCGAACTGCTGCTGCAGCTGGAGCGGCGCTGGACGGAGATTGATGATGGCCGCACGGCAGTGGCCCTGATGGCCAAGGCCGGGCACCTCTCGGAGCCGCTGATGAACCGCCTGGAGGACAAGGTACCACGGCAGGGTGGGCACTTCCTCATGACGTGCGGCACGCCCTGCAGTCACGTCAAATTCGGCCCCTGTTCCTGTTGCAGCAGGAGCCGGCCCAGGTGGCTGCTAAAGCAAGCCGTGCAGCTCATGGGCCCCGGGTCCCCCACCCTGGGCCCCGGGGATAAGTGTGGCTGCAGACAGGGCTTCTTGGCCCAGGGGCACCCTGGCGGGGAACCTGGTGGGCCTGCACAGCGGGATCCAGGTTTAGTGAGCTCAGGTCCAGTCGCTGTCCCACAGGGACGGTGCCACATGGGACCCCGGCCTGGGCCGCCGAGCTGACCGTGCGGGCTGTGGTTGACAGTGCCTGGAGCTGGTGGAACACTTTGGCCCCGACGAGCTGCGGAAGGTGCTGGTGACGCTGGCGGCTCAGAACCGGCGGTCGGTGCCCTTGCTGCGCGCCATCTCTTACCACTTGGTCCAGAAGCCCTTCTCACTGACGAAAGGCACACTCCTGGACCTGGCCTATGCCTATGGTGAGCCTTTCCCACAGGGAGCGGCGGGCAGGAGGTGTTGGCCGCAGCCGTGTCAAATTCGGTGCCCGCCTGGCTGTGGCAGGCGCCGGCCCGAAAGGCTGCCACAGAAACACTGTGGCTCATGGGCCCTGATCCTATGTGCTAGGTCTCAGGGATAAATTCGGTCACGGACATCAAGCCCCCGATCCTCAAGGCCAGGCTGGGGAGGCCGGGTGGTCCCCAGGGCAGCCTTCCTGCCCTCACCGGGTGAACTCCGCCGTCGCTCTGTCCCGAAGGCAAACTTGGCTTCCACCAGACCCAGGTGTTACAGCGCCTGGCTGCCGACCTGCTGTCCCATGTTCCTGGCCTCACATCCGGCGAGGTGGCCCGCTGCGCCAAGTCCTTCGCCCTGCTCAAGTGGCTCAGCCCGCCCCTGTTCGAGGCCTTTGCTCAGGTGAGCCAGGCAGACCCAGGAGGCCAGAGCTCAGAGGCTCCTGCTTATTGCTCAGAGGCATGGCCACCCCGGACACAGGGAGCTAGTTCCTACCTGGCTGATTCAGAGAGGAGCAGCCTTTCTGGTTAGTGGAGATGGTGGGTGAGGACGGTGTCTGTTGTGTCATTGAATTCCAGAGGAGTTTCCATCCATCTTCAGGTGGTTGTAGCAGGGCATGGTGTGGATGGTGAGATTCAGAATCTGCTCAGAACTCTATAAACTTCTATCACCCCAAAGCCATGAGGGAAGACCCTTAACTTACCTGCAGCAGCTTGGGGCCGCATGGACCTCCTGGGGCTTCTGTAATGCCTCTATCAGCCTCTGGGTGGGGGCAGCCAGCAGGGTGAGGTCTGGCCCACCACCCTGTTCAGGGCTTGTGGGTCCCGTGGGAGGGCCCTTCTCATTCACTCTGTCCCCACCTGGCCGGCCCAGCATGTCCTAGACCGAGCAGACACTGTCACCATGCTGCACCTGTGCAACGTGCTTCTGGCCTTCGCACACCTGAACTTCCGTCCTGAGCAAGAGGACAAGTTCTTCAGCCTGGTACGGTCTGTGTACTTTTCCCGCCCTGGATGTGAAGGCAAGAGTGGGAGGGGACCTGGCGTGGGGCCTTGGGAGTGCTAGGGTCGCTGGAGCCTTATGTCACAGGGACTGTCTGGGGACAAAAGACATGAGATCCCAACATGTCTGCTGTGGCCACGTGTGTGGTTTGGAAGATGTTGGCTGGGTCACTCACCCACAGTCAGGGCTGGGCCAGGTTGGGGGGCGGGGGAGCCTGCTGCTCCTTTACCACCCTGCTGATGCTCCGAGCCCTTGGCAGACTGCTTTAGAGGCCTGAGGGGCTGAGCGGTTGAGTGGTATGTGGGCCACCCTGCCGAGGACACCCACGCAGGTGTGAAGCATCCCATGTGTGCACCAGGTGTGACCCTGGGCCTCTACCAGGACGCTGCCCCCGCATGTGTCTTCCACAAGTCCCCTCGAGGCCAGAAATCCATCCCTGTCCCTGGGGACCTGTGATCTTGTGCCACAGGTCCTTGATGGTGGAGGGGCTGGAGGAAATTCCAGCCTCGTGTTGTGCTGTCCATTGGTTCTGGGTGAGGAGGGTTTCTGGTACTTTCTACCAGTGGGGGTCTCCAAGCCCGACCAAGAGCATTAGCCAGGATTGCTCCCCGTAGCTGTTCTGACCTCGGTGTGACCGAGTCATTCCGGTGCCCTGACCACTGCCGACATGGGGAGGTGTGCAGCCACTGAGCAGAGCCCCCTCTCTGCACCCCGCTCCATCCAGATTCACGAGAAGCTGGGGTCTGAGCTGAGGAGCCTGAACCCGACCCTGCAGGTGGATGTGGTGTGGTCGCTGTGCGTCCTACAGCAGGTGCAGGGGGAGGAGCTGCAGGCCGTGCTCCACCCCGAACTTCACACCCAGTTCCTAGGTGAGCCCACTAGGGCATCCCCTCTCCTGAGCCATGCAGAGCCCGCCTCTTCCCCCCCCCCCCCACCAGCTGGGAGCTTCCGGCTGGGGAGGGAACCTCAGAGCAGTGAGACGGCACCTGGAGCTCATCTGGCTGTCATCTACCCTTCTGCCTCTCTGTGTGTGATCCACGTGATCTCTTGTCTTTGCTTTTGGCAATGCCAAGTTAGACCTCTAAGCTTGGGGATGAGGGTGTCCCTGTCCCCCGGCCACCCCCCATTCTCCGCCCTGGCATCGGCCTTCAGCTCACCCTCACTTCTCATTCTTCTTCAGGTGATGGGTCCCCAAAGGGCCAGAGCACTTTCCAGAAGCTACTGCACATCAATGCCACCGCCCAGCTGGAGCACCCTGAGTACATGGGCCCCCTCCTGCCACCAGCCTCAGCCTGGGCGCCCCGGCTCCCAGCCCATGATGGGAAGGTGACGCCCCTGCAGAAGGAGCTGCAGGGTACCCTTCAAGGGCTCCTGGGGAGCGACAGCAGGGGCAGCTTCATGGTGGCCACGCAGTACGGCTGGGTTCTGGGTAAGAGTCCCCTCCCCCCACTCACCTCATGGCAGCCATGGGGCTCCTTCCATCTGGGACAAGGTCTCTGAGCCCCAGGGACAGTCCCCTCCGTGTCCGCCCATGCCCTTACCTAGATGCCGAGGTGCTGCTGGACACAGACGGTCAGTTCCTGCCCCTGAGAGATTTCTTGGCCCCGCATCTCGCCCCTCCCTCTGGGACCCAGCCACTGCCTCCTGGGGCCAAGAGGTAGGTGGCCCAAGGCCAGCCGTGGGCCCTGGCCCTTCTCTGGTGCTCCCCTCCCCCAGCTCCCTCCCCTGAGAGGACGCCTAGCGCTCTGCCCCTCCCCTGCCAGGCTGGCCTTCCTGCGCTGGGAGTTCCCCAACTTCAGCCGGAGCAGAGAGCTGCTGGGGCGCTTCGCCCTGGCCCGACGTCATGTGCTGGCCGCTGGCTTCCTGGTGGTGGACGTGAGTTCCGTTGGGCGGGCCCTTCACGCGGGAGAAGGGGAAGCCTGGAGCCTCGTGGTTTCCTCACGCCTGCGGCTTTGGGGCATCTGCTCAGGACTCTTAGAGCAAGTCTGTGCCCTGCATGTGCCCACCCCAAGTCTGCTGCCCCATTCCACAGCAGACTGTCTTATACTAGGGCCAGGGGACCACGTGAGAGTTTTGTCACATTTATTTCTTGCGGTAGTTTGTTCCTGGTTTGTTAGTGATTTTTTTTTCTTTGACTTCAAAAATTAAAGCAGTTATCACGAGGCGCCACGGATCCTCAGATCCCTGGCCTGGGGCGGGCAAGGGTGGGGGGTTCCGGCCCCAGCAGCTCCTTCTGCAGCCACACTCAGCAGCTTCATGGGCCTGGGGGCCAGGGGGGCGTGAGGGGTGGAGCAGAAGGGAAGAGCAGAGATGCCCCCCGCCCCTGCAGGTCCCCTACTATGAGTGGCTGGAGCTCAAGTCAGAGTGGCAGAAAGGTGCCTACCTCAAGGACAAGATGCGGAAAGCTGTGGCGGAGGAGCTGGCCAAGTGAGGAAGCCCGTGGCCTGGACTGTGCCCCGGGGGCTGGCCGGCAGCTCCCACCCCCTCGTGGGCAATAAACAGTAACTGCCGGTATCCACACCAGGAGGCGTCCCAGGTTCTGTCACCATCGCTGCCTGCCGCTCACACCATGCAGTCTGCCCCCAGGGCCCTGGGATTCCAGCCTTTGGGCCACAAGGACCTTCCTGGCTCCGGCCTGTAGGGTTTTGAGCACACAGCTTGGGGTTTGGGTATTGGTGTGGGTACTGACCACAGGTGTTCTGGGGTTCCCCTCCTGCCCGTGGTCTGTGAGTGGGGGGACCCCCAAGGACCCAGGCTGACTGGTGTCGCTGGCTCTGGGGCAGAAGACGGGTGGATTCGGCTGACAAGGCAGGGCTGCCATCACGTCCAGGCCAGGGGGTAGGGGGGACATCCTGTGCCCAAGCGACCCAAGCCTCCATCCCTGCCCTGCCTAGCAGTCTGTCTGTCCTTTGGCCAAGACTTCACCTGAAGAACAGTGAAGAGGGTGAGCGCCACGCACTACCGTTTGCCCCCAGCAGTTCAGGGTGGGGCAGGGAGAAAGGCCACCTCCAAAGTGGTCCCTCTGGAAGAGCTAGTACACTGTCCTGAAACCTTGCAGCCCACACAGGCATTGGGGTACATGGTGTGTCATTTGCACAGGCCGAAGGGAGGGGCAGCCGAGATAACTTTGAAGCCAGTGACCCCAGGCCCAGGCAAGACGCCAGAGCGGGCAGGACATAGCGCAGTGAAGGACAGGCATGGACTAGTGTCGGGGTATGCGGTCAGTTCAGGAGGGCTCAGGGAGGTCCCGCGGGGGACATGAGAGCTAGACCCGTCCACTGTGTCCACTGCAGACACTGGGTTCCCTTTGCACTGAGAGATAATCACAGTGGTCTGCATGTCCTCTTCCACTCTCAGTGGTGATGTCTAGAGTTGGTACAGGTCACCAGGACACTGAAAGGAATAGGAGTCCACATGCAGGACCGGTGACTCTGCAAGGACCCCTCGTGCCACCATCCACACCCCATCTCCCTCTGCTGGAGGCCACCAACCTGCCTTCCATCTGTGTGCTTGTTTTGAGAGCTTTCTGTAGAGGGTTCTGCACAGCCCTCAGGCTCAATCTGCCCTGGCTCATCCAGGGGGCCGTGCGCTGGTCCTTCCGCGTTCCTGCAGGTGGCTGGTCACCCCACGGGTGAGGGTGTTGGGAGTGTCTCACATCTCTAGTGCCTGCTGGACTGTGATCTCCGGAAAAATCCCCACCCCCATTCTGTGTCCAGGACTCCACTCAGTCACCTTCCTGCCTCTTCTGTCGGAAATGGTGTGCAAAGGCTCTCCCCCATTCTGCGGGTCCCGCCTTCCCTCTCGGTGGTGGCCCGGTGGTGGCCCTTGAGCAGCAAGCTTTCTGCTCCGCCAACGTCTGCCCAGTCGTCTTTGCTTGTGCCTTTGGCGTCCTGTCCAAGAGTCCTTTGGTGAATCAAGGTCGTGGAAATACACCTGTTTTCTTCTAAGAATTTGACTATTTCAAAGAACTTTTATGATTTAACTTTGCCCTTGCAGATTTCTCCTTAGGGAGTGAACATTTATATTTGCCACCGTGAGCTCCGTTCCGTGTGGACTTTTCAGTTGTCCCAGTGGTGTGGCCAAGACCGTTCTGTCCTCTTGCTCTTGGCACCTTTGCCAAAACGCGGCTTGCCCACGGGTGTCTGGGCTCCTGGGCTCAGTAGCTCACTGTCTCTTGATTGTTGCTCTGCAGAACATTCTGAAATCAGAAAGTGTGAATCCTGGACTACAACAGAGTAGCTTCTGCACAGCTAAGGAAACAAAACTAAATTAAGGCAGTCTCCTGAGCGCAAGGAGAGGTTTGCAAATGACGTATCTGATAAGGGGTTAGTACCCAAAGAACGTAAAGAATTCATTCAACTCAACACCAAAAGCAAAACAAATAATCCATTAAAAAATAGGCAGAACAGGCCACCTGGGTGGCTTAGTAGTTAAACATCCAATTCATTTTGGCCCAGGTCATGATCTCATGGTTCGTGAGTTCAATCCCTGCATCAGGCTCTGTGCTAACAGCATGGGGCCTATTTGGAATTCCGTATCCCTCCCCTACTTGTGCACTTGCTCTTTCTTACAACACATAAACTATTTTTGAGGCAGAGAGCACAGAGGAGGGGTGGGGGCTGGAGTGACAGGATCTGAAGCAGGCTCCGTGCTGACTGCGAGTTTGATGGAGGGCTCCAAATCAAACGGTGAGATCAAGTCGAATGCTCAACAGCCACCCAGGTGCCCCCCACAAAAAAAATTAAAATATATATAGAATATAAAATATATATATGTTGAAAATGAGCAGAACATTTATACGTAAATATATTATTTTTATTATATAATTAATAGTTTAATGAAATATATGTTGAAAGTGAGCAGAACACATGAACAGACATTTTTCCAAAGAAGACATCCAGACAGTTAACAGCATACATGAAAATGTGCTCAACATCACTCTTCATCAGTGAAATACAAATAAAAACCAGGGTGAGATACTGCCTCTTACCTTTCCGTGGCTAAACTCCACACCACAGAAACCAATGTTATCGAGGGTGCAGGGAAGGGAACAGTCTTGCGCTGCTGGTGGGAATGCAAACTTGTGCAGCCATTCTGGGAAACGGTATGGAGAGTCCTCAAAAAGTTAATAATAGAACTACCCTGCAATCTAACAATTTCAATACCAGGTATTTACCCAAATACAAAAAACGTGAGTTAAAAGGAATATGTGCATCCAATGTTTCCAGTAGCATTATCTACAACAGCCAAACTGGAAATAGAGTCTATCAGCTGATGAATGGATAAAGGTGTACATGTACACACACACACACAATGGAATGTTACTCAACCATCAATGAAATCTTGCCATTTGCAGCCACATGAATGGACCTAGAGAGTAATATGCTAAGTGAGAGAAGTCAGAGAAAGACAAATACCATTTCATGTCGCTCGTTCATTTAAGAAATAAATGAACAAAGGAAAAAAGACAAACCAAAATACACTCTTAACGATAGAGAACAGATGGTTACCTGAGGGGAAGTGAGGGAGGCTTGGGTAAGGGAAATTGGTGGAGGGGGTTAAGTACACCTTTTTTTTGATGTTTATTTTTGAGAAAGTGGGAGGGGGCAGAGAGAGGAGACACAGAATCTGAAGCAGGCTCCAGGCCCCAAGCTGTCAGCATAGAGCCTGACACAGGGCTTGAACTCACAAACTGAGATCATGACCTGAAACCACCTGAGCCCCGACGCGTCCCTACACTCCCTGATGAGCACTGAGCAACGTGCAGAAGTGTGGAATGACTATGCTATACACCCGCAACTCACAGCATTGTATGTTACCTACGCTGGAATTTTAAAAAGTGTGAGTCCTGCTTTAGTGTACATTTTCAAGATTGTTTTGGCTATTCTGGGTCCCCTGCAATTCCATATAAATTTTAGAAGTAGCCTATTGGGGCACCTGGGTGGCCCAGTTGGTTAAGCGTCCAACTCTGGGTTTTGGTTCAGGTCATGGTCCCATGGTTCATGAGTTCAAGCTGTGCATCAAGCTGTGCACTGACAGTGCTGAGCCTGCTTGGGGTTCTCTCTCCGCCTGTCCCCCCCTTGTGCCCATGCTCCTTGCTCTCTAAATAAATAAAATCTTATCAGTTATTACAGAGAAGTAGTTTGGATTATGGGAGAGATTGCAAGGAAGGCTTAGATCGGTTTGGGGAGTGTTACCTTGACTTCTGATCCATGAACGTGGGGCATTGGCCCATTTATTTAGGTATTCCTTAATTTCAACAGTGTTGTAGGTTTCAGAGTATAAATTTTGAACTTCTTTTGCTAAACTGATTCCTAAGTACTTTATTCTTTTTGGTGCCATTATGAATGGAATTTTATTTTAATTTTGGATTGTTTATTGCAAGTTTATAGAAATACATTTGATTTTTTCTTTTTTTTTTTTTTTTTTTTTTTTTTTTTTTTTTTTTTTTTTTTTTTTATTTTTTTTTTTAGAGGGAGCATGACAGCAAGGGAGAGGGACAGAGAGAGAGAGAGAATCTTAAGCAGATTCCACACTCAGCACAGAGTCCGATCCCACAACTCCGGGATCTGAAATCAAGAGTCAGACACTCAACCGACTGAGCCAGCCAGGGGCCCCACAATCAATTTTTTCTAATGGAAGTATAATTCACATATACTACATACCATAATTCGCATACAGTATTTGTATACATTATGAAATGCTCCCCATAAGTCTGGTTGCCATCTGTCACCAAAGTTATTAAAATATTATAGACCGTATTTGTCATGCTCTACATTACGTACTCGTGACCTATTTATTTTATGATGGGAGGTTTGCACCTCTCAATCCCCTTCATCTATATACTGGCCCAACCCCTCCCTCCTGTGGTGACCAACAGTTGGTTTATCTATGAATGTGTTTCCATTCTGTGCATTTCGTTTTTTAGATTTGTTTGTAATTTATAATCTTGGCGGGGGGGCGGGTACCTCCACACTGTTTTCCACAGCGGTAGCACCAATCTACCTTCCCACCAACAGTGTCTGAGGGGTCCCTTTTCTCCACAACCTCACCAGCACTTGTCATTTTCTTTTTGATACCAGCCATTCTGACAAGGGCGAGGTCATGTCTTACCGTGGTTTTGACTTGCATTTCCCAGATGGGGAGTGGTAGGGAGCACCGGTGCATGTGTCTGGTGGCCGTCTGCAGGTCTTCAGAGAAATGCCCATTCGAATGTTTATTTATTTTTGAGAGCACAAGCAGGCAGGGAGGAGAGAGAGAGGAAGACACAGAATCCCAAGCAGGTTCCAGGTCCTGAGCTGTCAGCACAGAGACAATGTGGGGCTTGAACTCACAAGCCACAAGATCATGACCTGAGCCAAAGTTGGACGCTTAACCGATGCCACCCAGGTGCCCCCTCAGTCCATTTTTTCATCAGGTTGTTGTTTATATTAAGTTGTGTAAGTTCTTTATATACTTTGGGCGTTACCCTGTTATCTGTTGTACGATTTGCAGATCGCTCTCCCATTCCCTAGCTTCTCTTC